GGCGCGCCGAGGCGATGGGCTGGGCGCCATGCGGGCGTGCGTGTCGTCGGGTAGCGCTGCTCCTGCTTCAGCTGACGAATTACCAGAGAGATCCATCCTTCGAAGAAGAATCGGGGCTTAAGGCGTCTGGGTTGGATTTTGGGGAGGTTGGTAAGAAAATAGGAGGTTGAGCTTATTTCGGTGGTTTGAGGATAAAGGTTTTTTCTGTGCAAAATGTAAATATCCCTTCTCTGCAGGCATCTGTCAGTATGCTTCTGAGAGAGGCCTCTCTCAGGCAGCAAATTTCTTCCATTTCAAGTTTGCAATAAGGCTTGAATTTCCTCTTCTCTTTTGGTGCGCTCATCAAGCTCAGAGACCGGGGCGGGCAGACCATGGTCTCAAGCAACTTCAAGCTGCTCGAGTACAGCGGGGTGTGGAAATTTGTTCCTTTTCTCAAAAAGCAAAGGATTTTGTGGAGTTAGTACACAAGATCACAGACTCGGGGAGGATGTGCAACCCCTGCCGTGATCTACCCATGTTGTGTGATTAGTGCATTGGATTGAGGGAAACTTGATATGTATTTATCTTTAGTGTCTTGAAGCTGAATGTTAAATTGGATGTTTAGACATGCAAACCTTGATTCTTCCTCTGCTGGAAATCAGTTATCACAACTTGAAGTCTCAGCTGCCTGATCCTGCAGCACTCCATGCCTGCAGCAGATGTTGTGCCCAAGCTGAGGTCTTCTGGTCGCTGAGCCACATCAGCTGTAGGTTCCCCATCCCCTTAGGCTCGTTGTCCAGGCACTTTCTAGTATCACTGGAGGGGAAAAAACCTCTCTGTTAAGTGAACCATCTCTCCCCAAGGTCTTCAGTGGGTCAGGAACCCCCTGTTCCTCTGCACCAGCTGAGAGGGGTGTCCGGCCACCCGCCTCTGTGGGCTCTCTGTGGAGGGCAGCACGAGCAGCCCCAGCCTCCCTAAGGATGTCGGAGAAGTAGCTCAGTTTCAGCTCAAAATCCCTCTCATCAGCTGCTTGAAAAGGAGTAGTGGGAAAAGAAACCAACAAGCATATTTGGAATATGTAGAGGAGAGGTGCCTTAGAAAGAAAGATCCCACATCATAGTTGGGATTTTATTTGTGTTTGGCTCCAGCTACAATCAGATCTAAAGGAGGTTTTGCTTTTGGGGTTGCTGGCACCCTGGCAGCTCCCTGGACCCTGCCATTGTTTAGGAAAATGGGGGTGATTATCCGCTGCAATGCTGCCAGCAGAAAGGGCATGGATTTAAAGGATGATCTGCAGGGCACCTCTCAGGGACCCTGCCTGGCGCAAGTCCTGGGTGTGAGGGTAGACCCTCCACCTGCATCTGTCCTGGGAATAAATGAAACAATATGATTCAGCTCCCCTGTGTTTTTCATAAAATTTGAGTTTATAGGAAAAAATGTGGGCCTGCTTTTGTGTGGATACTTCAGTTTTTTTCTCTTTGAGCTTTCTTCAAACAGCACCTCGTTGGCAGGGATTTCATGGTGCCAGCAGCGCAGGGCGCAAACGGGGTGGGACCGCGGCGAGCAGCCCGGTGACTGGTGGCTCTGCTGCTTTCAGAAAGTCATCAAGCCTCTGGCTGCCTTCTCCTTCAGAGCCCGCGTGGAGGTGTTTGCGCAGCCACCGACTTCTCCAGACCTTTGGAGTTTAATCCAAAAGGTGGCTCTGAAGGAAACCAGGGAAAACAGTCTTTTTCCTCCAAGGAGTAAATGCAGTTCCATTTACTGTTCATCACACTTTGGACCCAGGACTGTGGAAACCTATTCTAAGGCAATTATTGTGCCAGGATTGGGGCAATCTGAGTGGCTTTCTGTGATTTATTACCATGCCGAAGCAAGGCACACCACTGAAAATTAGTACTAAAATGGGTTTATGAGACACTGTCTCGCATCCCTCTGTGTGCCTTGCTCACGTTTAGTTTCTACCATTATGCGAATTTATGCTGTATGGTTGCGTTAAGGTGCTGTTGCTGAAAGTAACATTTTGGGCTAAGACTTCCGTGCTTTCCTTGCTCTTTTAAGGTTAAAACCGACGTGTTTAGTAAATATACTCTTTGACATGTAGAGCTGAAACTGCTCTCAGGAAGGAGCAGTAGCTGTGTTCTGGTCCCGAGTCTCATCAGGACAGATGAAGTTGAAGCGCTGGGGAACCGAAAACGTGGAGAAGAAAAATGATGAAGTGGTTAAAGAGGAGGCTCACATTTAACTGGGAACGTGAATGTGGGAAAGAAATGGGTCACTTCTTAGACACACGCATGGAGAAAACTGCCAGATAAATAACCCTACAGGCTTGGTCAGGCTGGGGCGGACCTGCTGGAGAGCAGCTCTGCGGAGAGGGACCTGGGTGTCCTGGTGGACGACAGGTTAACCGTGAGCCAGCAGTGTGCCCTGACTGCCAAGAAGGCCAGTGGTCTCCTGGCGTGCATCAAGAGGAGTGTGGCCAGCAGGACGAGGGAGGTTCTCCTGCGACTCTACACTGCCCTGGTGAGGCCCCATCTGCAGTGCTGTGTCCAGTTCTGGGCTCCCCAGTTCAAGAAAGATGAGGAGCTACTGGAGAGAGTCCAGCGGAGGGCTACGAGGATGGTGAGGGGACTGGAGCATCTCTCCTACGAGGAGAGGCTGA